GAAGAGAACATGCTAGAGTATGTCCAACAGTACGTGCTTTATCACATTGCCACATGGTTTTAAATACTTCTATGCATTGAAAATGTCTATGAAATTTTTTTATATATTTTTATATTCAATTTTTATCATATATTATATTATTTATTCAAATTTTCTTTTTCTCCATCCAATTACAATCTTGCAGATATCGAATTATAACTATTAGAAACACAATTTTTTTTTTATTTTCTTTTTCTATGCTAAACATCTCAAAATGGACAATATGACATTGAAGATGCTCTTAGGTTGTTGAACCATTAGCATTTATATTTTATTGCAAACAAACAAAAAAAAAATGTATACTTATATATTGAAATATCATACTTTTATTTATACTATAGTTTAATTATGACATTTAATTATTAAAGTATGTATATTTATTGAAAAAGTTTTATTATCGAACTGTTGGTTTAACACGATACCTACTTGATGTGTTGTCGCACCTCGAACCGGCTCTCCTTCGTCCTCACACCGATTTGCTCCTTGAAGACCTGTAAAATACATCATGAGGTGTTCCCGGCGTAAAACCCCCAACGATCAAATGAGTGATGGATTATGAAAAGTTGTATGTTATTGTATTTTAAAGCTTAGAACATCTCTAATGTGGCTTTTTACAATATAAAAAATCACCCATATCATCATTTTTTGGAAGGGTGTTACTAATTTATTCTCCAATTTGTCTTGTCATGAACTCTTTCATGATGAGGTGAAAGTCATTTACTGTTAACAATGTTGAGCATACTTTCTAATATCTAACATAATGTTAAGTATGATGGCCCATCAATTCACTTTATATTTAGTTTAACTTTTAATTATTCTTGTATCAATATTATTTTAATTGGTCCATATATACAAATAACTTCTTATCAAATTGATGCATTGGAGATACTAGTTTGATTCAAAGTTTTAGTATTTTAACATTATTTTATGTGGATTAACATTACATTCATTAATTGACATGTATTAAAACTTATTGTCTTTCAAAGCCATAGCATTGGAGATGCTCTTAGTGTGTATAGAGTGATTAATCTTTTACCTTTCATCCCCACACCTATTTATAGCGAATTATTAGCTCATTGAACAAACTTTACCCAGCCTGTAGGTCTGTCCAATTGCCTAGATTGCTCAAGGATTTGCCATACCGGTTATTTGGCTACCCCTATATCTGCCCGAGTCTCATTCTTACCCGTAGGTTCATTTAGCTCTTTCCCGTATAGCCCTACACGTGTCCCAAATCAACAGGTGCTCTTATCCTTCCTTTTTAAGTCTTCCTACTCTCTTAGCCCTTACAGATTTTTCTTTATACCAAGTCTCCCTAGGCCGGTGTATATCACATAAGCTCCCTGAACTATTGAATATAGATCTGTCAATTCTGTCCTAGTTGTTACACTGTCCGACCTATTGAGATATCGACACCACCCTTCCTTAACGATGATACGTCCGAGCCACTTTCCCACTATTGTCCGAGCTACTATAACGTTGTGTTGTCCGGGCTATTGACATACCATGATGTCGAGCTACTAATATACTATGCTGTTTGAGTTATTATCATATTGTGTTGTCCGAGCTACTATAACGCTGTGTTGTTTGTGCTACTGATATGCTATGCTCGTCCGAGCTACTTTGGGACCGACTAGCTCAAACTGACTGTAGTTGGTTTACTCGAGCTACACTATGTGTTATATTACCAATACTAAATGAGAAAAGGAGGGGAAATACAATTTATTTAAGTTCATCACTTATGTTTGGTTTGGTATTTCAGTTGGGCCGTCTTTTACAGTAAATTTGGGCCAAGATGTTTACTTTGGCGATATTTTCTTATTGGGTTGTTCATCTTTTTAACAACCCAATTGTTCGGTGAACTAGATCATGTCAGGGGTTTGGATCAAAACTAGAGAACTTAAAAATCTAAAAACTTTTTGTACCGAGAAAGAAAAGAAAAGAAAAAAAAAATCTAAAACTTTTGGTTTGTAATTACGGATTATTAATTGTGTGTTGTGCGTGTGTGTTCCAGAGGATAAATGCAAATGTTTTCCTTGAGACAGAGTTTATAGAACTAACATTAAAGAGTTATGTTAGTTCTTTCCGTTCTGTTATTGATTTAACATAGTTGGCAAATATAGCATATGCATACAATAAACACCTCGAGTTCATTATTGGTTTACCTTGAGCATTAATTTCTTTGACAAAAACTAATATTTTTTGTTCAATATTGGTTTACCTTGAGCATCCTGTAAAGGCACTTACTTGATATTCATTGTTACGTTTTGCCTCTGACATTTTATAGGGGTTATTATCATAAGCCTATTTGTAAGATTGTTCTTAACAAAGTTCGAATGTTTGATCGAAAGTGAAGTCGACATAGTGAGAATATGAATGGGGAAAGAGGGCTTGCAGAAATAGCAATACCAGTTACATCTTCTTAATCTGTTTTTCAACTTTCATCCAAACCTATATGAATGAGGCAGGCAGATAGAGAAACTTAGGAAGACAGATTTTTTATGATAATAATAATAATAATAATCATAAATCGCCTCTATGAAATCTAAATTGCAGCACTTTTAATCCTCATGAGTTATTACTCAGTTTTACTATTACCTTAATCTAAATCTTAATATTACCTCATGCAATTGAATTGGGTATCAAATTAACTTTGTGAGTGGTTACACACAAGATTTTTACTACTTACCACAGCTATACAAGNGAAGAAATTTTGTGCAGACATCACCAAAAACAGAAGTCAGTTGACATCTGATACAAAATCCTCACTTTCCATTTCTTGGAGCTTTTTTTTTTCTCTGTGCCTGAAATTTGTTATTCAGTCGAGAGAGAGTTTTGCGCTAAACCGTCCAGACGACTCGTTTATCATGGGCTCGTTTTGTAGCTGGTGGTGGCCTGACCATATTCTTCCACTCCGGCTTCCCACATCAAAACCGGGCGTGCCCAGCTGACCGGAATCCATTGAATCGCCTTCAAGAACTCGGAGCACCTGATAAAAAAGATACGTAAAATCAATTTCAACACCAACAATTTATCTATAGATGATAACTCACAAAATTCCCACAATGAGCATGTAATTAGTTAACTCAAGGATGCAGTTTTCTAAAGAAACAAAACATCAAATTGCAGCATTAGTAACATTGATAAGATCCTTAATTTTTTTATTTTTTTTTTGGGACCTCCCATGTTCGAATCTTTTCAATTTTTTCCAATTTTTTTTTTATTTTTTATTTTATTATCTTACCTGAGACATGCGTGGCCTCGCTTGTGGGTCCCGGCGTATACACAATGATGCGGCATGCAACATGCAGTGCACCTCGACTTCCGAGTAGTTGCCTCCGAGCCGTGGGTCCGCCAGCTCATCGACTGCATAAGCTTCCAGCAATGGACGGGCCTTTAACATATCAAAATAAAAAATGTCAGAATCAGATGCAAATAGCATGTAATTGGCCAAAATTAGAGGCTTTTTACCCATTCTGTAAGGCATTGTTGGCCTTTGGGCCTGTTGAGGTCCACTGCTTTACGCCCGGTCACAAGCTCAACAAGCACAACACCGAATGAATAAACGTCGGCTTTTTCTGTGATCTGACCACTTTGAGCGTACTCGGGTGCTAGGTACCTGTATGAAATAAGTTAGCAATATAGTGGTCTTATAGTAAATAATGCATACTTTGCTAGTAAAGCAAATTGTGTGGTGAAAAAAGAAAAAGAAAAAGAAAAATATACCCGAAGGTTCCAATGACTCTGGTTTCGACCCCCTTCTCCCCGTCCGGCTGCCACCTAGCCAAACCAAAATCTCCCACCTTGCATATGTGTGGGGGAGAGAGAGAGAGAGAGAGAGAGAGAGAGAGAGAGAGAGAGAGAGAGAGAAAAAGAGAGAGAGACAGAGAAAGAGAGAGACAGAGAAAGAGAGAGAGACAGAGAGAGAGAAAGAGCATTATGACAAATCATATATGAAAAAGGCAAAAATGCAATTTTAGTCCTATTTATTTAACGTCATATCAATTTTGGTCCCAAGATTCCAACTTTTCACCTTTTGGTACTGTGAAATTTAGGCAATTTCAACAAAATATTAAACCAGTAGGACTAAAAGACTGAAATTGCAACAAAATATTAAATCGCAAAACCAAAAAGTGAAATGTGAAAATCAAGGACTAAAAAATTGCTATGACGTTAAACCAGTAGGACTAAAAATGCAATTTTTTCTATGAAAAAAGATTTGATCAAACATATACTAAAAAGAATAGTGGGGTAAGAAGTTAGTACCAACGGCTCGAAATCGTGAGTGATGAGAATATTATTAGGCCGCATATCTCGATGAACAATGCAGCCAACCCGACATTCTTCGTGAAGGTACCGCAATCCACGTGCTGCACCAACCGCAATCTTCTGCCGTGCAGCCCAAGAAAGCGTATCCTGATGCCGCCCTAAGAGTATCATAAATAAAATTGCTAACTATTATTCATAGACTTTTAAAAGGTCGAATAATTATTAATAAAACACGCATTTGAGTTTTGAATCTAGTTAAAGTTGCAATTTTTGAAAACGGGTTTTTGTAAATAGGCGATTAACGCAAGAGAAACAATACATTCGGAAGCAAAAACTTGAAAATGTGCCAAACCAGAATTCAGCCATAAACCACTTCCTAAAACTGCGAATCGAAAATTAAAAAAAAAAAGGCATACCATAAAGATGGGAATCAAGAGACCCGTTGCATATATACTCGTACACCAGCAATCTCCTCCCATCCTCAATACAGAACCCAATCAACATCACCACATTACGGTGCTGTGCACAGCTCAGCACTTCGACCTCCGAGCAAAACTCTTGATCTCCTTGCGAACTCGCCAGCTTGTGCTGCTTGACTGCAATTGCCTGCCCGTCAGGCAGAACCCCTCTGTGCACTGACCCATACCCGCCTTCAGCCAAAAAATTCGCCCGAGAAAACCCGCCAGTCGCCAGCTCCAGCTCAGCATACGCAAACCATCTCGGAGGTTTTCCAAACATGGGAGTCTTATGTTGGCAAATAGAACACAAAGGCGGGGGCCCGCATGGGCCCGCTTTAGACAATGAAATAGCCTCCCTCAAGCTCCCGCTAAAATCGGAGTTCAAGCGGTAGCTCGGGGAACGGAAACCGAGGAGTTCTTCGTCGAATTTCGCGTTTTTCTCGAAGAGGGCGTTTGTGGAAATAATGGAATTATTTTTCTGTTTGACGAGTATTTTTTCGGGGAACCTGAGACTCGATGATGAAGAAGACAGGGTTTCTATGTCTGTGTCCGAATCGGACGAGTCGTGATCGTGTTCTTGTTTTATGGATATTAATTTCTCTTTCTTGGTTATTAAGTCGTCTTTTGGGCCGGTGGTTATGACGAAGGGCGATGTGCCGGGATCAGAGCTCGAGACTGACGAGGTCCCGGCTTCGGTGGCAGTAAAGGTCTCGGGGCTGCTGGAAGGGGTGACGAGGGGCCCACGGGCTGGATTTGGGGAGCCTTTGAAATCTCCTCGTTTTTTGGAGGATGGGTTCGTGTGGAGTGAGGTTGTGGATTCAGGCTCGTTACGGGCTGAGCTGACTAGGTTCAGGCGGAGGACCTTCGGCTGGGCTCGTTTCATGACGACAATGTTGCATTGGAGCTCCTCCAAGCAGCGCTTCTCTTCGTGTTTGAGGTGTCTGTGGAGTTTTATAGAAATGCTCTCAAGGTTCAGTTTAATCATAGAATTTTTTTATTTTTTTTTTAAAAGATGCCTTGTAATTAACATCAGAAATACGTATCATCAGGGCTGCAAACGAGTCGAGTCGAATCGAGCATGGACCTTGTCGAGCGCAGATCGAACTTTTCTTCACTGCTCGAGCTCGACGGACCATGTAAAATGGGCTCAACTCAACTCAATGAAAAAAAAAAATGTTCGAGATCGACTAGATGCTCGACATTGTTCAAGTTCGGGTAGAAATTTTAACAACTAAATTTTAAGTATAAAGGTACTATTTTTTTAATCTAAATAGACAATTATGGCCAGCCTTTGTGTTTTAATATTGATAATTAAACTATATGAGGTATTTATGTAAATACAAAATCCAGCGGCTCGTCGAGCTTACAAGCCTCTTGAAATGATGCTCGAGGCTCGACTCGTTTGCTCGATTGAACTGCTCGAGCTCGAGTTCGAGTTTGACAGAGCTCGAGTCGAGCATTGACTCGAGCACTCACGAGCAGCTCGTGACTTAAGATGATAGTTATAATTTTGAAGATGATTTGGTCATTTTGCAATTAAGATGAACCAACTAGCAATCGTTTAAAAAAAAAAAAGAAAAATAGCCAAGTGGTTTTTTGGATAAAAGTCAAAAAGGAGGTTAATGTAGGTCTTACTTGTCTAAGACAACCCAGTTCGCTTGTATTTTCTTCGCCTCGGCAGCAACTGCGCCACACGGTGTACCCGAGACAACTTTTATCTTCACATTGATCTGAAGAAATCAACAATTAACCAAATTCATTGGTTGAACTTCTGTTGAACAAGCCCAACTAGTATTTTTCCCTGCAGAAAAACATATGATATTCTTACTTTGTTAGGATCATAAACATCGTGAAGCTGAAGGATCATTTGCGAACAAGAATCCGTGATGTCCGATTTCTGCTCTGCACTAGAACCAGTTGAGTGGGACCGCCCTTTGTGGCCGCTAGCACAGTCACCCGCAAACCTCGGGAAGCTCCATAACTTTCGACCTGTTTAACAATTAAATAAAAAAAAAAATGGAGAAAAATGTTTCAAAAGGACACTTGACTATAATGGGAAAGAAAAAAAAAAGCATGATTTTTGGAAAAGGGACACAATCGAAACTCTGCATTTTCCAACTCTAAATTTATAATNTTAAGCACTAAAAAAATCAAAAATCTCAATTTCCAAATAAATCAACCAAAACCAACTGCAGAACCAGAGCAAGAAAGATTTATTGGATTCTCAATGCATAATAAAATTGCAAGAAACTGGAAAAAGAGAAAAAAGAATGAGAGAATCCATTGAATGTGACAAAAAATGGCAAAAAATATAAAGAATAAGAAATCAAATCAATATGATTGAGAAATTATTTACCAGAGACATGAGAAGAGAACACCACAAGAAGTGTGATACAGTCCCCTGGCTGAACAACATGAGTCAAAGCCCAAACCAAAGCTGTCTTTGGTATATCTTTTGATGCCTTAACAGCCACCACAACCTTCTCAGCCACATCACAACCCTTTTCCACTTTCTTCAACTCTCTACTCATTACCCCAACATAAAAAAGAAGAAAAAAATAAACAATTTATCCTCACAATTCCTCACCAAAAGCCTTTTTCAACTCAATAATCAGCACCCTTTTCTTTTCAAAGCGGGCACACCACAAAATCAAGCCACTAATGTTAATTGCCCTTGCCTGCAAAAGTAAACAAGGAGATGTAACATTAGGTGCATTATTTAAGGACCCACCAATAAAAGTTGTGAATGAAACTCATGCAAGGTGTAGAAAATGAGAAATAAAAGAATATTTAAATAATTATCTAGCATTCATTTATTTATTTATTTTTTTCCCCTATTCTTTTTCAGTCAAAACACTGAAATCTTGGAAGTGTTGGTTTTTAACCAGAGATGAGTGTGCATTCAGGTTTCAGAAATGGTACTAAGACAGCTACTTTGAAAATGATCTGCAGAGATGGTTCTTTTCAAACAGAGAAAAAAACTCCACTATATGGCACATGATCTCTGTGCACAACACAGACAGCAGAAAATACTTATATTTTTCCATTTTTTTTTTCTATTTGTTCCAATATCCCACCATTAACAGGCAAACAAAAAAAGGGCTGGGTGCTTTCAAATCAGAGAAGTCAAAATTTGGCTGAGCTTTGGAAAAGGGGAAAAATGTTAAGAAATGAGCTGTTTCTTTCTCAGATCCAAAACAGAACAGTCTTTTTTTGCTTTTTCTTTCCCTTCTCAAATTTCAATTATTTGAAAGCTCGGAAAAACGTGGGGCTTAAATAAAGATTCAAGATTTCCTTCACTCCAAACTAGAATATTGCTTTAACTTTTTTGGGCTTTTCACATTAAAAAAATAACCTATTCCGTTCAAACCCAATCAAGCAAAAAATCCCTAGAAATGACAAAAGGGTTTCTTTGCTCTCATAAATGGCTCTTTTTTCCCCAAATTTCCACCTCTAAATCTTTAGCATTTCAAATTCCAGCAAACAAACAGTAGTTCATAAAATAAACAACGGGCCAAATGAGCAAATCAGCACCATTCAAACTCACCCATACCAAATACGCATATATGTGCAGAAACATGAAAATGAGGTTTGGGGAAAATAAAGATGGCATTTTTCTGTTTTGTTTCTATGCAATGTGATATTTCATTTTGGCCCCCATTCTCTCTTTCACATCAGAACAGCTAAACAACAGGGAAAAGAACAACAACAGCAACATGACATTCCAAGAGAGAAAAGAGAAAAAACATAAAAATGAAAAAACAAAGCGATAACAAATTAGTGAAATACTCATTAATGGGGTGTGTGTGTGTGGGTGTGTGTGTGTGTGAGAGAGAGAGAGAGAGAGAGAAGGGTTTATTACATAGATTGAGCTTTCAAGTTGAGCAACCTTCACCAACTCGATAAACCTTGTTCATGTAAATGCAGGAAAGTGGGTGAAAGCACATTAAATTTCAAACTCAGATCAACAGAAATGTTAGATAAAAAATGTAATCTTTATTAATTCTTGGAAAAAGCAATTATGCACTTACAATTGTAAAAGTGACAGGTTGAAGAAAAATGTTTTATATGGAAAAATACAATACAAAAGGAGACGATGATTATTCACAAAATCCGTGCAGATGTAAATGGGGTGGGTCTGAATTTCTTTCAATTTTCTCTCTCTTTTTAATGCTGGCTTTTTTTATCTGCTCTGGCAAGGTCCATATCAAGCTTTTCTTTTTTTACTGGTCGAGAATGCCCCTAGTCACTCAGTAAACCACGGTTTTACCATTTACCATTTGAAATTTTTTTACTCGTGTTACACATAACATGTATTTAGCATTTGAAAAAATGATGTGTAGAAAGTATAAAAATTCGCATTATAAAATACTGAAATTCGTATAATAATCATTATTTTTTTAACCTACATGGTTGGAAAAAAAAAATAAAAAAGAAAAACCAACATGGTAACTAGTTTTAATGTATAATTTGTTAAACTCATGTTGTTTTCTAATTTGAGATTATGCTAGAATGAATTAGTGTGTGTTATATATGTGATTCTGAAGTACTAAATAGTGGGTCAGTGGAAAAGCTATAAAGTAATTACTAATTACTGCCCATTATGATTGGAAGAATAATTACAAACTTAGAAAATTTTGATTTAATTTTTTTATACTACTTTTTAGTGTAGAAAATTTTGATTTAATTTTTTTATGTTGCCTCACGATTTGATTTTCAAATTTTCAAATTTCAATATTTTAGTTTATTCTGTGCAGTTTTGTACTAGGGCACATTGCTCAACCGTACACATTAATTAAATGTTGGTAAAATAATGGGTTTGTGACTACTAATTACTTTACTGTGCAGTCAATTTTTGGAGCTTCTAAAGCATTAATAATATTATAGTCAATTAATATTTCAAGAGTTATAGAGTTGAAGTATTCTAACATGTAAATCTTGGGAGTGCACGAATTATTAAAAGAATTCAACTATGTAATGGTCGTCGGTGGCCAATATAAATAGTGATACTTGCTCGTAGATCGTGTGACAAATTGATTGCTCATTTTCATATTTTATTATTTATTATATTTCAAAAGATTCCACTCATTTAATGTTTGGTACTACAAAACTTTCACATGATGTTAATTAGGGCAAAATGCACATAAATGGAAGATAAAAACAGTGTTGATTGCAAGAGTAATAAGTTGGCTAACACCTTAGATTTAATTTGCTGATGAAAGAATATCACATGTATAATAAATTCATGTAATATCTAATAGAATTTTGTTGTTTGATTTAATTTTAAAAATATGGCTTTGGGTAATATACATATATATTTAAAATATTTGATTATATAATGTTTATGTCAATTGTTATTGTTAAAAGTGTAAAACAATCTATTAATATATCTAACATGGCCCCTACTATGCAATAACTATATATTGTAGCTTCAATGAGCACAAAATTTTTCAAATTTGAAATTTTGAAAGGTTTAAGAATAAAATTTGGATTCAAATCTCCAAGTGTCTTTAGTTACTTTTCTTTTTGTATACTTTTTTTTTTTTACATGTGAATCAATCAGCCAGAACAGAATAACTTATACAAATAAGTTTTATGGGTTTAATGAAAAATCAGCTTATTTAAAGTATAAAAGCAGTGTTCATAATAAAGATCAAAATTATTATTACCGGTAGCTTTATTTTGTATTAAAGCTTTTGTCTTTACTCTTTATATATGCTTAATTAATGAGAATAATATGTTGTAATTTTATATTTTCTCTGTGTTATGTAATCATGACCTACAGTATGTTGGTGCCTTTCAGTTTTCTGAAATTTAAGTGAAAAAAGACACTTGATTCCTTAATAAAGACAAATTCATCTGCTACGAGATTGTCAGAAATTTCAAAATTAACCCAAAGTTTTTTGGAATTATTTATTTATTGGCATGCGGTGATATTGTTACAAACAACTCAATTTTTCGCGATTATAAATAGAAGAAAACATGTAAGAAATTCTATATTGAACGAAAATTCAGTGCTAGAAAATTTACCCACATTAAAGCTTATCAACTTTGATCATTCTACCATCAATTATTCAATATGTTTTCACATATCACAATTTAATGTATATACAGAAATATTATATATTTTTAAATTAATTTTAAATTATCTCATTGTGCAACACAACTTTTAACAAAACTTTGAAGTGATGATTGCGGTGATTTGACATGAAAAATGACCCATTTTTATGTATAAAAAGCCTAATAAAGTCATTAAACCAACATGTGATATGTTGATGGGAACACCCCAAACAATTTATACGAGCACAAGTCTAATGTGTTATTTGTTAAATATGACTCATTATTTATTCAATGTAGTAGTAAAATTCAAACTTTGAGAGATTGATGATAGTAAATTATGAGGGATTTTTCACTTATAATATGATTGTTCTTAGTCCAAATTAATTTCAATTAACTATATTATTTGAGGGTAGGATTGAATATATACTGAACTCCATTATATTTAATTTTAAACCAATTAAAAAGTGTATTACATGGTTATTTTGCTTTAGTTTTATTCTCTCTTATAGACAATTGCTACACATGTATGTAAAAAATCACTATTTACACATTCACATATTATAACAATCAATTGTTATTTTAATATTTTATTATCTAACTCCTCTTCCACTAATAGTTTTTTCACCAATGTAAATATGTTTAGTAGCACTGTTAGTTGTGTAAGAAGCAAATGATTTTATACTAATTTTACCATTTTATATCTAGTAAATGAAAGACTTGGAAATTTTTTCATGACCATTTTAGAGTGAATAGAAAATTAAAATTTTAAGTAATAAATGAACTAGAATGTATGAAATATGGTGTTTAAATAATTTGAAGTTCATTGAAGAGTTATATCGTTTCGAAAAAAAAAAAAAAAAAAAAAAAAAAAAAAAATAGCTTGAAGTTAACTAGATAGGGCAAGTGGGCTCAAACGAGCGCACGGGCAAGTACTCTGGCTAACGAGAGTTTAGAATTCATAAGTTCATGCTTTGGGCGTGCAGGGCTCACAGGACTCTGTGGAATTGGTCGAGACTCATGAGATTGCACGTGCAAGAATTGTTGGTTGTCCGCAGTCATAAGACCAGTCGTGTAGAGTTGTAAACGAGCTAAAGCGAGCTCAGCTCGTGAACTAAATGAAACAATAATCAAGCTCGAGCTCGTCTCTTTTATAAATACTAACGAGTCTAACTCAAGACTTAACGAGTAAAACTATAGAAAATGATATAAAAATTATTTTTTTTGAACAAGTCGAGCCTGAATAATTAACTAAACGAGATTTCGGTGAGCGAAGTTCGACATAATTATTAAATGAACCGAGCCGAACTTGAGCCTTAAGGAGCGAGTCGAACTCATGATGACTGATTTCGTTTAACAGTTTTATGTCATGACTCAGGAACATTCGCGACCGCTTCATTTGTCGCTAGGACTGCAAACGTGTCAAGTCAAGTCGAGCATGGACCTTGTTGAGTGCCAATCGAACTTTTTTCTTCAGTGATCGAGCTCAACGAGTCATGTAAAATGGTGCTCGACTCAATTCGTGAAAAAAAAAAAAAAATGTTCGAGCTCGACTCAAAATTTTAGCAACTAAATATTAAGTATAAAGGCAATATTTTTAATCTAATAGACAATTTTAGCATTGGTGTTCTATTATTGATAATTAAATCACATGAGATATTTAGTGATGTTAAATTAAACGAGTCTGTCTCGGCTATGCTCGAGCTTGGCTCGTTAAGGCTCAAGTTCGGCTCGACTCATTTATCAGCTCATTTAAAGCTCGTTTGATTAACGAGCTGAGCTCGGCTCGACTCGATAAGACTCGAAAAGATAAATTTTATATACTTTACTATTGTTCAACTTGTTAGTATCGACTCGAACTCGACTCGTTATTCGTGAAAACAAGACGAACGAGAGTTTAATTTCAGTCTCGTTTATTTAACGAAACTTGAGCTCGGCTCAACTCATTTACAGACCTAAATGTATTTATGTAAATAAAATGCTGAACAATTCGTCGAGCTTACAAGAGAATATTGAAATAATGCGCGAGTCTCGATTCGCTGCTCGATTAAACTGCTTGAACTCGATTTGAACTTGACCGAGTTTGAGTCAAACATTAACTTGACCACTCGCTATCAGCTCGTGAGCCGTTGAATTGATTTGCACCCTACTCGTCACCACCCCGCGACCCTACTCGCCACGATTTAGTGATACAAAAGATGTTTTTTTTTTTTTTCNATCAAAAAAAAAAAATAAAGATTTTTTTTCTATTTGAAACTTTCGAGTTGTTTTAACATTTGTTACATCAAATCATTCATAATAATTACAATTTCAGGGAGCACTGCAGAAAAGTAAACGATTTCCGTCTGTCGGCTAACGTCCCGCGGCTGCCTGACTTAACTATCACGTTACCACAATAAATGCCCGACGGCGACTTAACGGCGATTTCCATTCGACGGCTGGCTTTAGCAGTGTGGGTCCACCTTTGCCGCTGATTTTTTGCCTCGTTTTAATATTTTCGTATTTCGAGTGGCTTTCTAAATAAAAACAAAATATATAATACTTATTTAATTAATTGGGCTGATTTTGGCACTAAGCGCGCGATTTTGGATTAACGAATGAGACGAAGTTATGTTAAAAAAGTGTCATGGTCCATGGAATGGAACTGTGTACAAATTAGGATTAATACAAAGTTAGGCATATATTAATTAATTATTCCTTATCTATGCTCCGTGTTCGTAATAAATAATTTCTTTTGTTGGCATTACCCCAATATTTTCAATTGTTGTGTTACAAAGAAGGGAAGAGGCTTTGAACTCCATGATAATTTTATTATGTAAATTTTAATAATTTATATCTTAGATAAATGTGAGATATTGGTTGCAATTGGATATAAGTTTTGTTCCTCTCAAGAAGCTATAATCTTTTGAAAAAAAAACTGTTTTTTTAGAAAATTGAGATAATTGATATTTTAAATGAATGTAAAATAAATTATAATGATTAGTGTTGATATGATAAAAATATAATTAAATATTAATTTGTAAAATTGTTAAGTGAATGAATAATGTTTTTTTTTTAAATATGCAATCATGATTTTTTTTTTTGAATTATTTTAGTGAGATTTGCATATATAATTTGAGATGAACTGAATAGCATAGTATTTATGTCAATTTTACTTTTTGTTTTATTTCTTAATTTAAAAGACAATTCTTAGCTGATTAAACAAAAATTTATGTTATCTATGTCCATAATAAATATTTTCTTTTGTTTGTATTATGCCAAAGTTTTTTAATTGTTGAGTTTTAAAGAAAGGAAGAGGCTTTGAACTTTCTAATTATATTTTTGTTAATCATAAAATGATAATTTAAGTAATAAATATATATATATATATATAACAATATATATCATCAAATTATATTTTGGCATGAACATATTTAAATTAAAGAATAAAAGAGAATATTCTACGTAAAGTAAAATATAATGTAAATGATTGGAGATGAAATTTGATTTTTATATTTATATTTTAAAGTAAAATAAACTCTTACGCTCCAATAGAGATAAATCTTAAGATGGTTTAATTAATGAGTTTTTTTTTCATACAACACGAACAGTTAAAAATTAAAATAATCGTATCAAACAAAATGTATATCATGCTTTTAGGACAAGAGCTGTGACCTATGAGCAATAATTTATTTCTAAATCTACTGTTTGCTATTGGGATTGGGGGGACTCACAAATTTCAACAGCATTGGGCCTTGTGACTACATAAATCAAGATAGGCTTTTCTTTGTCCTTAAAACAATGGACCACATTTTGCTGGTTCTAAAATATCCAATTAAAGAATTACATTCTTTAATCATTTGAATTTTAGTGAGTTTCTAGCTCAAAATCATTTGATCTTCAAAATGTTAGCCGTTTAGGATTACAAAATTAAACCCATTTTCTATATTTAATTGAGAAAATTACCCTAGGAACTAACAATTGCAAGAAATATTTGCACATATACCGTTAAAATATAAACTGAAAAATAAAAAACCCCCCAAAAAAATAAATAAATATTAACCACTAGCAAATCAAAAGCTAAATAAATAGCCCAAAACACATAAAAATCGCTCACCCAATGTACCTGGCTCAGAATTAGCCTGCCGAAGAAAACCGATTAAAGCTTCTCATTCACATCCCTTTAAAAAAAAAACAAAAGGGGTCCAAAGGCTAAGTAAAGCCCTCTCATCAAGACCCTGAAAGCATTACTCTCTCACTTTCTGCAATTAGAACTAATTCCTGCAAAGAAGACAGCTTTTCCCTTGTCTGGAAAAACAAACTCTAATGGATGGAACTAAAGATGCAACAAAGAATGGGAAGTTTTGAGTGCACTGCAAACAATGGAATGAACCAAACAGGACTTCCCCCCTATAGTTACTTCAGCTTCTCTCGTTTTTCCCCGTACATGCCTTAGTTTGTACCTCTCGGTTTTTTTTACGCACGAAAACATCGTATCTCACTCGAGCAATAGATTTCAATAGCCCGAAGGCTAACGAAAACTTAATCAGGATGACACAAAAACAACGTATAATTAATCGGGATGAGACAAAAACTTATTCTGTAACTGCACTGCAGTCTCCGAGTTTTTTTTTTTTTTCTCACCGTTGGATCAACACAGACACAAATCAAACAAACATGCGAGAAAACATCGAATGACTACACTATACATCGTGCGTAGTCGAGTCGAGTCGAATCTTCCGTGTATAACAAACAATCACACCATATTATCCCGAACCTCAAAACCCGAACAACTCGGACGAATTTCCCAACAAATAATCCAACGCGCTCGGCGCAAACTTCCTCGCGAACAAAAAACACAAAGACGTGTGCCGATCGTTGTGCATGCACCCCGAGTTCCCCTCCCTCATTTTACGAAAAAACCCTTTTTCGCTAACGTCCCCACTCCCAAACGTCGCCGGGTGGGGCCCGCCCCTCGACCAGTCAACCCACGTGAGGCTCCGGTTCGCCAGCTGGCGCGGGGACTCGATCGTCAGCATTGTCGGGAAGTAGTGCTCGTCTACATAGCACGCGGGCCGGCAAAATTGCTCGAATTTCGGGTAGTAGAGGGAATCTCGGACGATTTTCAAGGCTAAGTCTCGACCGATTTCGAACCATTGGGAACCTTTGCGCCAGTTGGTGAGGTTGACGAGCGGGCCCATGTTGGGGTTGTAGCGGCCGCGGCCGTTCGGGCCGGGCTCGTCGAACGAGCCCATGAAGCTAAAGTGGGATTTGGAAATGTATCGGTAGATTATGGTGAAGTTGTGAAGGGGAATGCAAGCTTCGGACAAGAGCACGAACCACTCGTTTGAGAAGTCGAGCAGGGCGTTTGCTAGGAGACGCCTCTCGGCGTCGCACATGCTCATCATGCCCCACTCGGCCACCTTTTTTCCGAAAAAAAAATGGGAAAAGAAAAAACATGAGATTATCAGATAAATGAATATATAGAAAGAAAGCGAAAATGAAAAAAAAAAAAANATGAAAAAAAAAAAAAAAAGAGTGTTTTCACCACTTCAAACACAAATAAAATACTTCTACAACCTAATTCGCCAAACACAAGGCTTGAACGAGAGTAGCATTTGCCACGAGCTCTTGGAGATCGTAACGAAAATTACCAGACAACAGAGATCAGGTGAATTCTATTACCAATTTAAAATAACACTTTGTCATCTTTGGTAACATTTGTCGAGTTTTTCGAACCAACTTTCAAAATTAGCATGTCACTTGTCAAAATCTGTCACCAACTCTCAGCACTTGTTGGTTTATAATTAATAGCTCTTATACATTCAAAAAAAGCAACTAGACCTATTTAAGGGATGGAAATTTACTGCCTGTGTCTGTGGTTATTTCTGAGGATTTACCTTGCTAATAAATGGACACTAAATGAAACAAGAAAATGAACTGCATAAAAATACTGATAAACAACAGACAACCTAGATGTCTTTTCAGACAGAACAAAATAGAGATTTTCAACTGTTAATCCATCTAATATACTGAGGAAGGAAATGAATATTTTCTGCTCCAAAAAATCCTGAATTTTGACCAATAATTCTATTTTTCCAAGCGGAAATGTCGGTTCACCTATTGAATTACCAACTGCTGATCACTAGCATAGAATAGATAGTAAGGGACTTACAGGATTTTTTCAAACGTCACAACTCAACGAAATGAAACTTTAGATAATGAGCTCATGATACCGTAAAATAAGATAAATATGCAATTTTAGCTCCCATTCCAAATCCACCACATTCAGCACGTTCAATCTTATAATGTCTACTCATTTATAAAAGATCGACATGCCCAAAGTACACTCAGACCTAATTGAAATCACGAACTGCCAAAGAATATCATGAAAACCATATATATTAACCACAAACACATCAAACATTAAATCCACCAGAACTTCATTAAGTAAAAAAAGACATGCACTCAACCAAATTTACCTGGCTCGGAATTTGCCTGCCATAGAAAACCGATGAAGATGAAAACTCGGGCTGATAAGAAGGCAAAGAGTGAATATAAATCGAATAAAGATTCTCATTCCCTTTGAAGAACTTCTCCCACAAAGGAGCCAAAGGCAAAGGCCCTCTTGTCAAGAACATGAAAGCAATCTTGGGATTCCTTTCGAAAGGGTAACTTTGTATACTGGGCGCGAATGAAGCCCGCCAAAAAAGCTCGGTGTCATTCATATGATGCAATAATGTTGAAGGAGGTTTTACCCAACTCTCTAAAGTTTTCAATTCTTGAGCACAAGGCAAGAATCTTGACTGAATTATAGTGGTTTCCTTCGGTACCTTGAGATAACGGCTTGCGTAAAAACTGAGAAAGGAAAACACTATGGCTAGTCCCAATAAGAGCAAGAGACACTGAAGTAATCTTAGTGGGAAGGGTCTGTTTGGTTGGTTTAAGGTTCTAACAGTAGGTTCATTGAATTGTTCAAGAGTGCTAAAGGTCCCCACTTTTTGTGGCATCTTCAATTCAAGGCAAATGGGTTTTCTTCTAAGCAGAAATCAATCCTANTTTTTTTTATAATTAGTTGAATAAAATAGGAAAAATATTGAACTTTTTTTTTTACCTGCTACTTTGATTCAAATCCAAATAATCAGAAATGGCTAAATATCAAGACATGGTCTTTCAGACAAAGAAATTCAATAAAAAAACTGATTGTTAAACAGTCCCACTTACCGAATGAGAAGCTCCGGACATGAAAGCCCTCACCTTGCAAACAAATTTTGGGACAACAACCCTTTTGCAGCTGATTTTCAGAGAGACAGAGAGAGAGATGTTCTGTTTCATCATTATGTGGGCTTGTAATAAATTTTCACATCAAATGAATACAGTCAATGAATTTAAAACAGTAACAACAATGTAGTTATGAAATTTCATGAGCAAAATTTGAGAAAAGGATACGTTTCGAGTTTGGAAAATGAAACTGATTTTCTTGTTGTTGGAGTGCGTACTGTCTTTAGTTTCGATTTTCTTTGGCCCAAAAGGCTCAAAAACAGCGCCTTTGGACAAGGAAAATGTAGCATTCATGGGATGTTTGTAGGTTGATTTTGTGAAACTGAATCTTGATGAGGGATTGAGAGATATGTCCGAGAGTTTGGGAGGAAAAAGGAAAGAAAACATTGAATGTGCTGAGATTGAATTTAAATTTGTAAATGATAGAGACAATTATAGTACGGTTGTATTTGCATATGATTCGTTTTTGTGGAGAAAAATTGACAAATAAGCCCTAAACTTTTTTAAACAAGTGAAACTTTAATCTAAAATTCTAGGGAGTAATTGAATATTTTCTAACTTTATAGTCTCGCCTGAAATTCAACAAATTTCCTAGAGTGGATATAATTTTTTTAAATAATTATTAATCTACTTTCACCATTTCTTTCTTAATTTTATCAACACAATCTAATAATAAAATTAATTATTACTAGATATTTTTAAATAAAATTTATTATTCATCTGCTCATATATTTTTAATTATTCATTATTTACATTAACTGTTTTATTATTTTTCATCACATCAGCTTAATCATATACTTTATCTTATATCCATTCAAAATCTAAAAAGAAAAATAGGTTACAACACCCAAAAAATAATTTTTCCAGTGTTTCAATTTAAATAATTTATTTTTCAAAATAATCTATATCTAATCTCATCATAATATTATTTGATTTCCAAATCTATTACTATATAATACGGAGAAGAAAAATTATTTGAACAATCCGAAAATAATTATTTCGTTTTCCCGCTTCAATATAGTGTTTTTCCCGCTTCTTCAATTCGTAAAATTTTTTTTGAATTTTTTCAGCCCATGCAATTAGGTAACCAATCAAATCGAATCTTTTAGCATTCAATTTGGTAAGGTGTTCCGATTTTAGCATTCAAAGCCGATTTCACTTCCTTTTTTTTATGCCAATCAATCCGATTTTTTTGGTTGTTTCAAAATTTGTTTAGATTTATATTTTTAATTTTATTAATATATTTGAAAGAGAATCAATAAATGTTTATCATAACTTTTATTTTAAAAATAAATTTGAATAAGCATACCTTTTACTTTATATGAAATTCAAAATTACATATTTTAATATATTAATAAACGTTTATTATTTATTTTTTTCTTATGTGATATAGAATTTCGTTATTAAATTTGTAAATTCAAACATTTAAAGGAAAAGATTCCAAGCAATTCTTTTGGGTAAATTTCATTTTATCTTGGTTTTCATTATCACATTTCTAACAAACTAATTAGTATTATATTTTTTTATCTACATTATCTAACCGATTTTTTATGATACAATTAATATAATATCTTAACAAATTAGTCATTTGTGTAACCGGATTTATCTCTCTAACAAACTTGCCAATTTTTTTAAAATTAAAATGGTATGATTATTCTTATGGAGATACTTATCAATATATTAAATATTTAGAAACTTTTTTTAAAAAATGAGTTATCCCTCCTTTTACTTTATTTGAAATTCTGACTTATATTTTTAAATATATTATTATTTATTTTTTTACATGTAAATATTTATTATTTATTATCTAAGTGATAAATATTATTGATTTATCTTTTTAATAAATATTTATTATTTATTTTTTTCCTTACGTGATATAATGTAAATTTGGTTACTAGATTTTTAAATTCAAACATTTAGGAAAAAACCACGAACAATTTTTTTGGTTACATTTCATTTTATTTTAACTTCCATATAATCAAAATCCTAACAAACTAATTAGTATAATATTTTTTTACCCATTTTTATATAATCGAATTTCTTAAAATATAATTAATATAACATTTTAACTATTTAATCATTTGTATAACTTGATTTAACTCATTATCAAACTTGCCAATTTTTTTTTGAATCTAAAAAAAAATTTAAAAGATTTTTATTTGTAAAATAATAAAAAATAGCTTTACTTTAAAGTCTGGATTATTTCCATTATTTTTTATACGTTAACAATCATATATTTTGGATTATTGATTTAAAAAAACAAATCAAGACCCTAAGGTTTAATAATATTCCTTAAATAAAAAATATTGTATAGAAAAAAGTATTTAATATTATATATTTTTCATTGATTGTATTTATTTTATTTTCATAATAGACGAGATGTGAAAAATATAAATAATTATATTTAAAATAAAGTCTAAAAAATGTTTAAAATATTAACTCTTCCGTGCATCGCACGGGATATACACTAGTCATTCTTAAAAATACAGACTTAAATGAGGAGGAAAAAAAAACTATTTTGGTAACTAAACTTTATCCGCTCTCTACTTTTTATAGGTCAGTATTTATGTTTAATCAATTTTTAGCTTCGTCCTTTAATCAGATTGTCATTTTTCATTAAAATTTTGCTAAAAGCCAATGCCGTGATAACATTAGTTTTTGAAGTAGTTGAAAAAAAAAAATTAAGAAATCTTAAATTGTTAATTATCATTTTCAATAAAATAATATAATAATATTAAGCAAAGTAATTAATAACTCATTTTCTTTGGCCAGCCTTGTTGTAGGCCACATGCTGTTGATGTGTTTGATGGGATTGTGTTTGATAAGTTAGTTTATAATTTTTATGTTAAAGTTCTCAATTGTACTTGGGCCACTAGCATGTGATCCATGAAATAGTGAATCAAGTAACCAAGCAGTATACAGATAAATCTACTTTGACAAAATTGGTGATTTAGAGAATAATAAAAAATAATAAATAAGTATAACATTTATTGCTTTTTAAAAGTGACGATGGTGTATAAAATAACAATATTGTAACAGATTATTATTATAATCGGTTAGTCACTTTAGCACGAGTCATATCTTTTTTCTTGGCTGTTATTATAATTTCGTCCTCGAAACAGTAATTAAATAGGGAAAATTTTTTATATACACACACCGATAACACATAAATGCAACATTACGAAGGGTAGCAATTATTTTGCAAACTTAACTGATGGATGGAATTTAAATGTGATAAAGCAAGATATTTGTTACTTCTATATATATATATAATTACTAGCTAATAATATTTAATAAAACCTATTTAATTTTACCTATGTGGCAATTTAACAATTTTTCCTCCAAAAATCGTTACATTTTCATGTATTTAATCTTTCATTTAATCATTAAATAATTAATACTCATCACTTCAAAATTACAAAAATTATTTTAAACTTTTAATTAATGACAGTTAACTATATAATGTGTTGACCGTATAATGTGATTAGATGTTATTATTGTTGTTACATTTGATTTTTTTTAAATAAAAAATATATTTAAAATTCCTAAATAAATAATAAATAATTCACAAATAGAAGACGTACCAAAATATACATTACATTCAATCAGATAAACGCAATTTAAAAAAAAAATATTACAACTCTTTTAATTGTAAATTTGGTCTGCAAAAAAGTGAAAGAAAAATAATTAATCATTATATACATACAGACTCACAATAATTTATTTATATCTGTGCAAATGCACAGGTCGAGTACTAGTTCAATTAAATCGATCAAATCTCCATAATTTAAGGGAATACTGGATTACCGTTTTCATTGGAAAAAATAGCCAAGATTTATGGAAAGTTACGTTATAATATATTTATTTTATTGCTAGATAGTATAGCAATATGCATTCAAATCACATACATGTGTTCTGTTGAAATACTTGTGTTTCACTTTATATAGATACTAATTTCTATTTTTTTATTTTAAACAAACATTTTCTTTTATTTTTTACATCTGATGTATATATACACTATATACATCTGATGTATATATACACTATATACACTATATACATCTGATGTATATATTAAAAAAAGCAGCGACGGAGGTCTGTATTGAGATGAATCGAAGGTTGGCAGCCGTTGAAAGATCGCCGGAGATGAACTGAGACGGCCGGTGAAGACGAATTAGTCGGAGGCGAATCTCAAGAAGTGCGGCGGCGGCTATGGCGTGGCAGTTGCAGCGTTTATTATGATGATCGACTGTGTGTGCTTTGTGGGTGTGTGACCGCCGTCGACGATGGTGTGTGTGTGTGTCTCGCCGGCGATCTGTGTGTGTTGTGTGTGTGTCTCGCCGTCTGTCGGTGTGTGTGTGTGTGTGTCTTGCCATCGGTCTATGTGTGTGTGTGTGTCCTGCGTGTGTATCTGTGTGTGTCACGTGTGTGTGCTGCGTGTGTATCTGTGTGTGTCACGTGTGTGTTTAATGGCCTGTGTGTGGCGTGCGTATGTGTTACTGTGTGTGTAATGTGTGAGTGTGTGAGAGAGAGATACATAGTGTGTGAGAGAGAGATAGAAATAGATAGACTTAGGTGTCGTGATTTGGGAAAGATAAACGAATTTAATTTGGTGTGGGACCCATTGATGTGGTGTATAATTGATGTATGAGTAAATCTCCATAGTACCCTTAATGAGGTATAAATTTGACTTTTTTATTAACCATTAGATAATACGATCTAATGGTTATAATTTATTCTTATTTCTCGCATTAAGCACCATTCTCATATGAGCGCGACCCTATATATACATATAAAAATATAATAAATAGATATACACTATATTTTCTTTTTTTTTTTCTTTTATTTTTCATTTTAACTTTCTGCACCTGTATATAAAGATATAATAAATAAATATATATATATATATATATACATATATACGTGTATATATACACACGTATCAAGCACGATGAAGGTTGATATTCCGGGATTATAGTGTATATGTTCAGAATATATTTTTTGAATTAGTTTTAGCCTCCTGCATATAATAAATATATGTACNATGTACATATCCAGTATTTATAAATCTCATTTGTGTGCGTTTGTATTAAAAAAATCATACAGTTATGTAGGAATAAATGAAACAAGTTGCAAGTACTGATTTAGTGAAATCAGAAAACCTTTGAATAACATCACATAAACTAATTCATCAAAAAGTCGATTAAGATTCAATTAATACTAAAAAAACCAAAATGACTTAAAATGCTAACATGTCCCAAAACCAAAAAAAAAACTTAAAATGCTAACATGTCCCAACACCAAAAAAACACATAAACGATTGTCATAAATCATCACAAGAGTCCGAAAAAGGACATCATTAATCAGTAAATCATCTCAAGAGTCCAAAGCGGACATCATCAGGCGTTGTACCAGGAGATTCATCCTCACTCTCCAAATCATGTTTTATCTTCATTAGGTCATACTTATACAACAGATATGCGAATCTATGCCTCTCCATGGTGGCATCTATCTTTTTCCTAGTAAGATCGACGCCTGATATGAAATGCTCGGCGAGCGATGCAACAAATGTACTGCAGTCACTGCATAACAATTTTAAAAAGAAAGGGGACGACAAAAAAAAACATTAATATACAAGTGGGTTTATAGAACACACTTATATATACATAACATATACACATAATTTTAGTATATACACACATAGTCACAAATCCACAAATGGTCGATAAAAAATGTATATATACAGAAAGGACTACCAGTAACATATCCAACATATATTGCATATATATAGCGTATGAGTTCACAAAATACCGATTGCACGAAATTATTGGTAACATACTAATAACATATACACAGTACTCCTGACACACTATACATACTTATACAAAGCATTATTCATTTCCAGAGCATTGGGCAAAATATATTCGTAACATATGCATCACCCATATATCACATATAGTTTAAGTGAGCTTCGTATATACACAAACATGTTCATAAAAAAGACCCTTTTACTAAAAAATACCAGATACATATACACTACAAAACAAGTTTCGAACTATAGACTATGATGGAAAAAAAGAAGAAAAAAGAATAAGAGAATTGTATATAAACAATCAACATCACTAAAATAGCACATGTCCAAACTTTATTTATATTTACGAAAATAAACATAGAATCTTATAAGTCAATAACTACACAAAAATTATAATTTTTTTTTTTTGTCTTCTGAACATAATATAAAAACTGAGAGGTGAAAAAATAAGGAGGTGAAAAAATTTGTTATTTACCTTAAAGTTACCCAGATTTTGCAAATCTTCTTCTGATTTCCTCAAATTGTCACCCGGCTTGTTCTTCTTCTTGGACGGGTTCTCATTATTTTCACCTTTTTTTTACTCGTTTCTTGCCCTTTTCCTTGTTTTCTTGCAAGTCGTGTACTTCATCACTCGATACTTCGTAGCTTTCACTGTCTTCTTCATGAAATTCGTCCTCAAAGTAGGAATCCATTGGTGCCCCCTTCTGTGCCACACCTCGTTTATCTCTTTCATTGTGTACCTGGACCTTTTCTGTGGATTGTGGCCGGGGGCCCCGACTGAAAGTCATCAAAATCGGATGAAGGGTCAACCTTTTCTGGCCTTCTCTTTCCGGGCATACTCAGATAGTTGTTGGTTTTCATTTTTTTTTTGAAATGCATTTTTTTTAACGAGAGTGGGTTTCCTGCAAGCTTGTATATTTCTAAGTCGCGAACTCGATCTTCGATGAGGGGAAGCTACGGTGCCGGTTATCGGACTTCTTCTAATTTTTGTTTTTGCCATTTTTTTAATCTGGTTTGAAATGTTAGGGTTTGCAATTGAGAAAAATTGTGGGAGAAAGAGGAGAGGTTAATCGTGTTGAAGAGAGAGAAGAGAGTGGGTGGTGGGCGGTTTTACAGAAGTGAGATAATTGCCTCTTACCATACGCATCAGGAGTCGTTTTTGGTACAGATATTATCACCATTAATGTAGCTAGTGAATTAATTGTTTAATACCCTTTTGAGATCAACCGAATTCTTGTATAACTGCAAATATAAACATAACTATTACATACCCCGTGCGATGCACGAGACAAAAATATTAAATGAGTTATTTTCACAGACTCGTCCGTGTAAGTCTAAAAAGTAATAAAATATCATCTATTTTCTACCTCTCTTTTAATGAACGTTAAGTCTAGAAAACAATAGGGTTATAATCTATTTTTCACCTCTCGCTATATTAAAAAAAAAAAAAGACTTTAAATTATATTTTATACTATATTATTATTATTTATAGTTAATTACGTTTAATTATAAAATATTTATGAAATTAGTATTTAGTCAAATAAATAATTATAAATATTTTAAAAGTGAGGAATCACCTGTTCCAATTAATCAAAATACATAAACGCGTCGTTTACTTCGCGGGACTGGATAGGATGAAGAAAATAATCCCGATAATCTTATGTTCACTTCGCACGTTTGGGATAGGATTTTCATGACATGGCGCCCACATGGCATGCGCTCATCGGCCATTCTCGGACTAAAAAATCTCGGCTCCCCGACCTGACTAAATAATCCTGACTTTTTAATACCATTCCTACCCTCAATTTTCACTGCAAAGAGACCAATGTGCCCCTTATTTTCCATTAATTTACAATCATCTCCCAAATAAAAGTGAAGAATCGGGCATTTTGCCCTAGCTGCAGAACGTCGCCATTGTTGTGAACTGGTGTGAGCTTCGGATTTTCCTAGGTGCGTACAAGTTGAATCCACAATCGCCATGCTTCACATTTAGACAAATGGACATATATTGAAATTGTAAAGGTTAATATAACGATTACAAGCTCACATGTTTTGCCCTAGATCCAGTAGAAACGAACACGCCGTTGTTCCTGTACAAATCGAGCATCTTCAATCGGGCCTAAATGTGAGCTTGTAATCGTTATATTAACCTTTACAATTTCAATATATGTCCATTTGTCTGAAAATTCGTGGATTTTTAATTCGATTTTGTTTATTGGTTGTTTTTTTTTTTTCTC